GTGCAAACCTCTATTTACTTTAAACCTGAAGATGGACTTGGGGATGAGGGGCTGCTGGGCTGCTACATTTGTGTCTCTTCCCAATATGTCCACATTCAATAAACCTCCTGTCTTACCTGTCACTAAAGCTTGTCTCTTTAATTGGTTTAATGTGGGCAGGTAGCTTGTTGAGGCATCTAGGCTCTGACCCTAACAACTACAGCAACACCAAGGATCTATCCATCCAAAGAGAGAACTGTGCAGGTTTCATTGAGCTCCAAATTCTGCCCTTACTTGAATTAGAGACAGGCGGTCAGCTGGCCAAGATTGGGTGGAGGCAAAACTCTTGAACTTACAGGCCTGCTAGGAGCAGGGAGGTAGCTTGATTCGTTCCTAATGGAAAATTGAAGTGCTCTTCCATTTGCCTTGTCCTCCTAGACCACCGACATCCTCTTGCTTCTGGGCTTTCTTTGCATTCAAGCTATGTGAGCCCCCTGTCCATCAGTCGATACCTCTGAGGCTTCCCCTAGGATTCAGCAGTCTCAAAGCCCTCCTCTCGGTGGATCGGAAACACCCTGAAGAAACATTATTGCAGTAATGTTCAACTTCTTACCTTTATGACATGCTGTTGTCTTCTACAAATATGTTGGGTGACATTCATAGCTTGCCTCCAATGTTTGAGGCCAGGGGACGGAAGGATATGACAATAGATTGTGCTGTTGAGGAATATTTGCTCTTTTAAGGAAAAGGTCATTAACTCTAAGACTTAAGGGTAGAGTCTTGGGCATCATGGCAGGTGACAGGGAGGTATTTTGCACCGAGAACGTCCTACTGCTACCTCAGGGAGGCAGTGGTGGTAAATTTCCCTTCTCCCCTGTCCCATATGGTCAGCCTGGGGTCATTTCTTTTTCCTCTGAAATAAAAATCTCCTCCTCCAGCTGCTGGGAAAGCAGAACAAAGCTGGCGGCTGATTATTATTCAAGAACAAAGCAGGCCATTTATTTTAGCAGGTTGAGGGCCATTATCTCCCCAGGACACAAGCTGCAGTGTGAGCTGCCTTTATCTACCCACTCCCCTTCCGTCCTCAATCCTTGCAGAGTGTGTTGTTCCAGCAAGAGGAACAAAAGGAAACAGAGGAGAGACGTTTGCTACAGCCATGACCCGGGAAAGCTTCTTTCTCATTCCTTCCCAAAGACATTAACACGGTCTGTCTCCTAAAGACCCCGAGCAGATGAAAGAAGACTTTGGCAGTCATCTTTCATTTGGAATGAGAGTCGCACCACACCCTCAGATTCGCTATCATCAAGCCTGCAGACATCTTTACTGCTGCGAGTCGTTAAGAACTGCCAGACAAAATACAGGACGTCCAGTCCAATTTGAATTTCAAATGAGCAGTACATGACTTTTAGTCTACCTTAAACATTGCATGGTTAGATGTTTTTAAAATGATCCACTGTTCATCTCAAATTCAAGTTGGAGTGTCCTGTATTTTCATGTGCTGCATCTGGCCGCTCGTCACACCGTGTCTCGCACCTCAGCCTCATACTGGTCTCGGGAAGCACAGCAGAACTCCTTGGGTATGGAAGAAGATTTGGGGGAATGGGGGCACAACCAGATGTGTATAGGTGTGTGTTAAGTGACAAGTTGCAGAGACAACCCTCCCCTGGAGTCACATGAACTGCTTCAGGCCTGCTCACCTAAGGTGACCCTGAACACGGGCAAACGAATAAATGTGTTTGGTGCTCTCAGAGTGAGCAGAGGCCATTTTTCCATGGGAGCCTAAGAGGGAAGCTTCCCTTGCATACAGGGGAGGAGGTGGAAAACACCTACCTCTCTGGGCTCCATCTGAAAACTGTAAGGATCCCTGAAGCCTCCTGCTGTAACCCTCTGCTTGCAGACTCTCCCAGGAGACTTGGGGCTATGGGTCTGCGGACCTGCTCAGTCCCAACTCCCAGTGCACAGACCCCTGCCCCAGCTTCTCTCCCTAGAGTCACCAGGCATACATGCCACTTCCTCACAATCCCTGAAATACCTCATACACCTCCAACAGCTCACCTCTCCTCATCCAGAAGACTAGTCCTAGCCAGACATCCTTACCGAGTTGAATCCTAAACCCCCTGCCTCTTACCCCAAGGCAGCCAATCAACAGTAAGTGTCTTAGTCAGGGTTATCATTTCTGTGATGAAACACTGTGACCAAAGCAATTGGAGGAGGAAAGGGTTTATTTGGCTTATACTTCCACGTCACTGTTCATCATTGAAGGAAGTCAAGATAGGAGCCTGGAGGCAGGAGCTGATGCAGAGGTCACGGAGGGGTGCTGTTTACTGGCTTGCTTGCTCCTCATGATTTGTTCAGCCTGCTTTCTTATAGAACCCAGGACTGCCAGCCCAGGGAGGGCTCCACCCACAAGGCCAGAACTCCACCCACAAGGCAGGACCCTCTCCCATCAATCACTAATGAAGAAAATGCCCTATGGGCTTGCCTGTAGCTCAGTTTTATGCAGGCATTTTCTTCAATTGAGGTTCCCTTTTCTCAAATGAGTTTAGCTTTTGTCAAGTTGACATAAAACCAGCCAGCACAGCAAGCAACAGAATCGACAACTGGAGACAGAAGAGCAAGCACCCAGCTTCCAACCCAGGAGGAGCAGACAGCAGAGCTTCATGTGGTGCCCCTGCTGGACCTCAGTCCTTGGCAGACTTCATTTTTATTCATTCAATAATAATTACTATATAATAGCAATATATAATTACATCATCTTAACATGTGATTGTTTACCATGTAATTATTAATAATATTGTATATCATATAGTAATATCCTGCTGTGGGATGTTCTGTATGGCAAATGTGTTGCTGATTAGTCAATAAATAAAACACTGATTGGCCATTGGCCAGGCAGGAAGTGTAGGCGGGACAAGGAGGAGAATAAAGCTGGGAGGTGGAAGGCTGAGTCAGAGAGACACTGCCAGCCGCCATGATGACAAACAGCATGTGAAGATGCCGGTAAGCCACGAGCCACATGGCAAGGTATAGATGAATAGAAATGGATTAATTTAAGCTGTAAGAACAGTTAGCAAGAAGCCTGCCACGGCCATACAGTTTGTAACCAATATAAGTCTCTGTGTTTACTTGGTCGGGTCTGAGTGGCTGTGGGACTGGCAGGTGAGAGAGATTTGCCCTGACTGTGGGCCAGGCAGGAAAACTCTAGCTACAATATCCTATTAATTATTATTATTATTTGTGTGGATCCAGGTGTAAGCACACCACGACAGAGGATAACTTTTGGGAATCAGTTCTCTCATCACCTTTACAAAGGATGCAGGGATCAAACTCAGGTCATCAGGCTTGCAAGTGAGCAGCACCTATTTTTTTTTTAACCTTCTCTCATCCAGGCCAAGTTTCCCCTCCCCCCTCTCCCCCCCAGTCCCTCCCTTCCCACCTCCCCCGCCCCAGGCCCACTCCTCCTCCATTTCCCTTCAGAACAGGGCAGGCCTCCCAGGGTTATCAACCAAGCCTGGCATATCAAGTGGCCAGCACTTCTACCTCTGAGCCGTCTCACTGTCCCCAGGTCGTATTTTTAAAGGGCCGTTGATCCCATACCATCTAGTCGCCTTCTGATATAATAATTCCTTCTGTCTCATGTTGCTCTTCACGCCCTTTCTATCTTTATTGCTGTTTTAAATATGTCCCCTTTCAATATTAACGCCCAACTTGTCCCTTTGAATGAGTTGACAGGTAAAATCAGCCTTGTTTTTTAACTCTCTTGTAAGAGCTATCTAGACAATATATTGATTGCACAAAATAATGGGTTTCAATGGTGACTTCGTTTGTTTGCTGAGACAGAGTCTCATGTGGCCCAGCCTGGTCTTAACTCCCTGTGCGGGTGAGCTTGGCCTTGGACTGGTGATCCTCCAGCCTCTGGCTCACATGTGCTAGAATCACAGGCACGTGCCATCACACTCAGCACATTGTGACATTCTTCCGGAACACACTGTGACCACATCCACCCCTTTCCCCTCTTACCCGCCTCTCACTCCCCTGATAGCCCTCCTCTTCCCTAATGGAAACTGAATTTTACTATCGGGCACAGAGGTTCCTCTGAAGGCATCAAGCTCTATTTCGCTGTTGTTGTTATTGTTGTTGTTTGTTTGTTTGTGTGTTGTTAACCCTGAAAGGGGACTCTATGTTCTCTAGGATTTACCATTTAGAAAACAGAAAATGAATTGTCACTTCACCAGGGTCAACAGTGCTAAAACGTTCTGGGATTCAGAAAAATGCCATCAGATTGGTGGTAGAGATGTTTCCTTCTAGAGTTTACTTGTGACTTTCTCCAGGGCCCGCACTTCATGTCTCTGTGACACATCTTCTCCCAGAGCTCACACGGCTTCCTGTAACCGTGCTTGGTGCTTGCTCTTCAAGCTCTACTGTTTCTGAATGTTGGTTGAACCCCCAGTGAGAAGAGGCTCTTGTGTATTACCCATTCCCATTGCTCTCCAAGAATGAAAAGAGGTCCCACAATTAAGCCTGCAGTGTGCAGAGAGCAGCTGAGAGGAGCCCTACTGTGTGTGACTGTGGTGGTGGGTGGCAAAGCAGGGGATCAGGACCCCCAACCATCTTTGGGGAGAAGGTCATTAGGTCAACCTCCCACCCCCTCCTGCCAGAGGATGCCAGCTGATGCTTAATAGAATACTAGATAGCCAGCCAATGAGCGGTTATCCGAGGCTCACAGTCTGTTCATTCATTCATTCATTCATTCATTCATTCATTCATTCATTCATCCATTCATCGTATTTCTCTCTCTCTCTCTCTTTTTTTTTTTTTTTTTGGTTTTTCGAGACAGGGTTTCTCTGTGTAGCTTTGTGCCTTTCCTGGAACTCACTTGGTAGCCCAGGCTGGCCTCAAACTCACAGAGATCTGCCTGGCTCTGCCTCCCGAGTGCTGGGATTAAAGGCATGAGCCACCACCACCCGGCCTCATCGTATTTCTCACATGCCAAATACTATGCAAGGTAAGAAACAAAACGCTCAATAAAGAGTCATCTTCCACTGAAAGAATTACAGACCGGAATGTGAGACAGACCTACCAACAGTAAGAATGTCACAGTGCATCTTGAAATGTTAAGCTAAAAGAACATCATGTTTCAACCAGGGCTGACTTTGCTCCCAGAGAACATTTGTCATATCTAGAGACATCTGTTTGTCATAGATTGGGTGAGAGTTCTTACTGGTATCTAGAGGCCAGGGACACAGCTAAACCACCACCACCCGTGCTTAGGACAACCAGCCTCCCATGGTGAGGAATCATCCAGCCCAAAATGTCAGTGATACTAGGCTGAGTACCTCGTGGGATATGTGGTGATGTGGTCAGTCCGATCTGGCCAGCCCTATGCTCTGGGTCCCCTCAATCATTTCTGCTCTTTTCCCACCTCCATCACTATCTGGCTTTTGCCCCTCAGCCAGTTCCTTTACCCCCACAACTTTAGCTTCATCTATAGAACAGAGTCCAGATCTCTAAGCTCTAAATCCCTCCCAGTCTGAGAGTCTATGGTTTATTGGGCCCATGTTTGCGCTTCCACTGAACTCTGCTCCCCACAGGATAATGCTGGGGACAGTGACCCTGCCCTGCTTCAGGTCAAGGAGATAAACTAGCTTCCTGTGCTGCTCTTGCGCATACATCAAGGAGGAAGCTCAAACACCCTGGCTTAGGACCGTTCTATCACAACTAAAGCTTCCCTATCGATACCCAAGAGCCATTTAACCTGCCTCCCAGATCTGAAGGAAAGGTTTGAGTGAATGAAGCTGAGTGGAAATTTACTCAGATGCTGTTTCAGTGATTAGATCCAACCACAGACGACACTTCATTCCCTTTGAGGCGTCTGAGGCGGTGAGGGGGCAGGAGGGTCCAGTCCAGCGATGTGGGGGCAGTGCCTATGGAGGGGTACTGTCTCTAGGTGTCTGTGGGCAGCCTCAAAGGGGACCTCTTGTCACGTCTCCTTGAATACAGGGTGGCCTGGATTCTTAGCCACGTGTTTCAGACTGTCAGGATGTGTGAATCAGACACTCAGAAACTCATTCCTGCCCCCTTCCTCCGGTGATGTTTGCTGAGCTCATCCTCCTAACAGAAAGACCCTGTCAGGGCTGGCAGGCTGGAAGACAAGAGCAGGTAGGAGACTCAGAGGAGCCAAGGGCTGGGAGAAGGGAGTCCAGAAGTTCCAGAATATAAGGCTGCCTCAGTGCTCAGGCAGGGCTAGCTGTCACCAGAGAGGCAGGAAAAGCCAGCAAGGCAGGCGTGGCTTTGGCGTATACCCTGGTTCCAATGTCACTAGGTTCACTGTCCCAGGGAAGAGCATCCAAGTCTTCAACTGGAACGCCTTTGTGTCCTCTCCACTGACACCCAGAGCCATTTGAGGTAAGCCGTCTGAAAGCAATGAAAAATAGGCCCTTTTATGCCTTTTTAACAGAGGGAAAAAAAACCTAAATCCCAGACACATTCAGTAACACACCCAAGTTACTTCAGCTGCTAGACTAAGGGGACTCCATCAATGCGGCTGTCAGATTTGCTTCACAGAAGCCACAGACAATAAATGTTCCCAAGCTAGACAGCTAGACACATCGCTTGCATTCACTGTTTTGTTTTTGTGTTTTATTCTGTTTGGGGAGAGGACAACATGATTTATATCTAGGAGTATATGGAAATCTTTCTTAAGACTTATTTTTTAATTAAATGTGTGTGTGTTTGTGTGTGTGTGTGTGTGTGTGTGTGTGTGTGTGTGTGTGTGTGTGTGCGCGTGCGCGCGCGCATGTATATGTGCACATGATTATAGTACCCACAGAAGGCTAGAAGAGGGCATTGGTTTCCCTGAAGCTGAACTTGGAGGAAGTTGTGAGCTGCCCAATGTGGATGCTAGAAACCAAACTCAGATCATCTACAAGAGTAGCAAGCACTCTTAACTGCTGATCTGTCAGCACCTGTGTGTAGTGGGTAGCTGTTCCAGCTTTGACCTTGAAGTACTGCCATGCCTACCTATGACCTGCCCCTGGGGCATGGCCGAAATGGGAGCCCTTAAGACTGGAGATCCTTCCGGGCCGGCCCTCTTGGCTCCTCATGATCCTGGATACTAGATGGCAGACCGAGTCAGAGTTCTCCAGAGAATCCCATTGGACTTCACCTCACCTCTCCTGGATCCTGTAACCAACCCCTTTACTGGCTGTAAGTTACCCCAAAACAAACCTCCTTTTAAGTACGTGGAGTTGCCTTGCTAAGTCCCCACATCACCTGCGTAGCAGATCTTAAGTGTACAGTTCAATGATTCTCACACACACGTACACTTGTGCAGTATGCATGAAGATCAACATACAAATCCTTACCACCCTAGAAAATCCCCACATCCTGTTTTACTCACAAGTCACCCCCCTTTCGATAAATATCTTTTTATTTCTATCATGATAGTTTAGTTTTGTCTATTCCTCATATCATCGATCTCATATTCTTTTGTCTAATGTACTTTTTGTGTTGTGGTGACATTTGCTCCTTTTAGTGTGGGATACTATTGCATTGTATGAGTGCACTCTGTTACGTTTATCCATCCTCTTATTGAGGATGTTTGGGTTGTTTTTAGGTTTGGGCTTTTATGATTATTTATTCTAAAGATGAGAGTTGGGTGGGGACTCAATTGTTGATGATGATGATAACTTAGCCTGGTTTTAATTCCTCTCCAAAAAACAGCTGATCAATTCATCCTCCAAAGGTCTCAAAAAAAAAAAAAAAAAAGATTCAGGAGGACGTGCTAGATACCCCTAGGAGATCTTTTCAGCTGTGAAACCCTCCAGTGTCACCTCTTTTCTGCCTGGAGTCTGCTGTTCTGTGCTGGTTTAGGCAGCATTACAGATGCATTTATTTCAAGCCCCAGCACAGAGGGAGGTTATCTCAACACAGAGATGGGACCTATGCACCTGAAAACTCATCAAGTAAGACCAGGGGTTTTACTCAAGTATAAGAAGCATACCAACCCCTCTTCACCTCTTCAGATGACATTTATTCCCCAACCAAAAAGAAAAGAAAATGATCTTCATCCCCCCACCCTCAAACTGGAGCAGCTTCAAAAAATAATAATAATAATAAACTTCTGCTTTGGTGTAAACATAGTTTTTTCCCATCAAAACTCATGCTGACTTCACTCCATCACAGAGACAGGCACAGAACAGCATTGAGGAGCATCTGGAAGAGGATTAGGTTCAGAAAAAGAATTAACACTTTTCACCTGGAAAGGGGCTCTCAATTTCTCAAAACCGAATTAGTTAGCACGAGAATGAGTTGTTATAAAGCAAGCCTGAGACTCCCTCTCTTTCTCCCTTTCTTCGTCTCCCCACTTCTGTCTCCTTTCTATTTCTCACTGTGAAGTTCTTATCAGCACCAGGCTAATGCTGGTACCATGCTCTTAAACTCCCAGAACCCCAAACCAAAACATAGTTCTTTTTGTTATAAGTTACCTAACTTCAGGTGTTCTATGGTAGTAGCAGAAAATGGGTTGAGTTACTCTCTTGCCTCCATGAACATCAACAGCAGTTTCTCCTGGGGATGTGTGGGAAGACCAAATCCCACAGTGGAGCCATGGACCTGGCCTCCCTCCAAAGCTCATCCAGTAGGCATACTTCCTGGGTCCTGCACGGCATCCTACCTCATTCTTATCCTGAGTCTTCTTATCCATGTGTTTTTCTAATCCCACCTCTACCTGCTGAACCCAAGTACAACATACAACCTTACTCCATCACAGGGAGAGGCATCCCTGGGCATGCAAAGGAAACAGTGAACAATCATTTGAATAATACACATATTATTAAAAAATCATTTTGCTGAAGACTTAGTCTATGAGGGTCTACTAAGCCAGAAGCACTGAACTGCCCAAAGTCAGAATTACTACCTTTATGGGACATAGCATCTTATACACAGGCACCCACCAAATGCCTACCGTGGTGATCCATGACTGTCAACTTGGCAGGATCTAGAATTACCAGGGAGACAAGCCCCTGGGCCTGTCTGTGAGGGATTATCTAGATTAGATTCACGGAGGTAGGAATACTCTTCCTAACTGAGAATGGAACCGTTCCATGGACTAGAGTTCCCTATTGAATAGAAACAAAAAAGAGGGCTTGAAGATACGGCTCAGTGGTTGAGAGCACTTACTGTCCTTGCAGATGGCCCAGGTTTGGTTCCTAGAACCCACATGCTGGCTCACAACCATCTGTCACTCCAGTTCCAACTCTAACATAGCACGCGTAAGTATGTGTGTGCGTGTGTGTGTGTGTGTGCGTGTGCGTGCGTGCGCTAACACTCACACACATTCAATAAATAAATCTATAAAGGACTACGACAGATAAGACCATTACTCATCTCTCTGCTTCTTGAATGAAGATGCATGTGACCCCCTGCCACCATGCCTTCCCTGCCCCATAAGCCAACTCATGTCCTTTCTTCTTTAAGCTGCTTTTTTGTCAGGTATTCGAAGATGCATGTGACCCCCTGCCACCATGCCTTCCCTGCCCCATAAGCCAACTCATGTCCTTTCTTCTTTAAGCTGCTTTTTTGTCAGGTATTCGAAGATGCATGTGACCCCCTGCCACCATGCCTTCCCTGCCCCATAAGCCAACTCATGTCCTTTCTTCTTTAAGCTGCTTTTTTGTCAGGTATTCGGTCACAGCTATAAGAAAAGTAACTAACACGCCTCCTGAGGTCCTCAGAACCAAAACACCATGTGCTGGATGTAGAGACTCCAATTCACCCCCTTCCCTCCGGGCTCACCCTTGATCTCTCTCTCCTCCATTCCCCTCCTCTCCTCCTGTGGTCACTAGTCCATGCTCCCTGCTGATCTCTGTCCTTGGTGGGCTCAGAAGAGGATAGGGAGCAATAAGATGTAGACATGGCAGCGAAAGACCTTTGGCTCAAGCTGTTCAGGTTCTTGTCTCCCCCTTCAGAAGCCGCTGTTCCCTCAACATTACCTCACACGTGCCTGGAGAGTCTTCTGGGGACCTCATCTGACCCAGTGCCTCAGTTTCCCCTAGTGAGGTGTAGGGCACATCCCACCCTCCTAGCTTTGCTAAGGTAAGAGAGGAAATGGTTCCTGGGAGGTCAAGGGAGGTCAAGGACAACAGGCAGCCCTGGTTCTGGTCTGTAACTGTCCTTTCTCTAAATGAGACTCACCCTCAGTACATGAAAGCCACACTGTATCATCAGCCAGCCGGTGTCATCCCACTTCGTCCACACCTGCCAGGACTCTAAACACCAGGGTGTTTTTCTAACCCCTCCCGCCCTCCACCCACCTCTTGTTCTTTCGGAGCAAATCCTTCCCCAGAGTTCCCAAATTCAGAAGAGAGGAAAAGAAAGATTTTCTTCCATTTTGATTGTGAAAATAAACCAATTGTTAGTTTCTTACCCAAAATCAGATTCGGAAATGAACTGGTCCTGGGCTGGATTTGACTGTTAAAGACAAATGTGAAATTGCTTCTGAGGTGTTTTTGGAAATTCACGGACGGTGGCCAGGAGACAAGCTGCTGAGGCTGTGGTTATTGGCATGGCGATTCAGAGCGGGAAATTCCTTACATAACTGGGAGCAGACGCCAGCTCCTCCCTAGGCTCCCTCCGGTTCCCAGACTGCTACCCACTGGGTCTGACCGTGGCTGGCCGTCCTCTTACTGTTAAGTCACAGCAAATGTTCACCCCGATGCTTCTAGGCCAGGGTTCGGGGAGAAGATAAGAAAGACATTAACCTCTCTCTCCAAAAAGTCTCCACATGCCTTCTTCTATGTAACGCAGCCTCTCCAGGGAACTTTCCATTCTAGAATATTCCTTTGGGCAACATACCCACCCCCACCTTTCACCTCTCTGACCACACACACACACACACACACACACACACACACACACACATACACACACAGAAAGAGAGAGAGAGTCAGGGTAGGCTAGCTGCTACAATCAACACCCCCAACATCTTAGTGAATTAGCACAATAACAGTTTCACACTTGCTCACAATTAGTATTTGCTGATCTTGCCAAATTAGGCCATGACTACAAAGGGCTTTGTTTAGTTGTGTGGTTAGGGTTTTTTGTTGTTGTTGTTGTTTTGTTTTTGTTTTCTAAATTATACTCCTTGCTTTCTAAGTCACAATTCTTTGGGGAACAGGAGCTTGCACACTTTTATGGAACTGAGAGGTTCTTCTTTACAGTTTGGAACACAAAGAACAGATCCCAGAGAGCATTGTGTGAGCCTCACAAAGTTAGCAGATCTGGTCCAAAGTCTCAGGCAGCCCAGCCATTGGTGGACCTAACCCTTACTCCCCTGACACACTGCTCTGGGAAGCAGAACTTCCAGCAACAACTAGGTATTCCAGCCTCTCATAGACATGGCAGCTGAATTGCCCAAAGACCTTTTGCAGCTGGCAGAGAATACTCTGTGCACACGGGTGTAGATTTCTCGGATTGCATGGGTGCTGTGGGACAACATTCTGGCCTGGCCTGGCACAAGCCTACATGTAACTGAGTCATTAATGATGGCTGTCCTTGAGGCAGAGTGACCCTTCTGATTGGAGGCTGGCACTTTGTGACTTCAGCTGTGCTTCTGCTATCATACCAGCCTACCTCACTTGTGGGTTTAAAAGAGAATCCGGACCAAAGGTGCTGGCTGTGTAGACAAAGATGGGGAATTCAGGAGACTCAGACTCCGGGTTCCAAGCCAAAAGAGAAGGCTGGAAGCTGGCCCAGGCATTCCCACTGTTCAAAACCTGTGACTCCTGACTTACATTCATCTGCTCATTCAGGCAACACTTCTACAGACTGAATGGGTCTATTCATCTTGCCCGTCATCCTTCCCTTGGCCATGCTTCTCTGTATCCAGGTGGCTGACTTCTGTGGACCATGTCATCAAGCTCGCTTGCCTTTCAGCTGCCAGATGGTTCAGGATATTGGGAGGCAAGGGGTGGGAGCTGGAAGGTGAAAGTAAGAGTCTGGAGAGGGACAGCAGGAGAACAGCAAGCCTTACTAAGGCTGTCCAGCTTCCGAGCCGATCAATCAGAAAACATCCAGGGAGCTCTGTCCCCTCGAGGTCCTTTGGACAACTCTTGCAGATTTACAAAATAACTTCTATGAGAAAACAGGATACCAGAAGCCGGCAAGTATCAGAGCCAGGAGAACTAACTTCTTAAGATGCAATCATGTGCTGGGCCAGCTTGTACAGGGTGCCCAAGAGCCCACTGTTAGCATTTCAGAAGCTTGCACACTGCCTTTTGAAACATTTGGTAACTTCAGATCAACCTTGGTGGGAGTATTTTCACTGAAGAAATTGGCAATCAAATTAGGGCTTCTCTCCACTCTCTGTGTACTGGTTTACCAGGGGTCTCAAGACAAAAGGCTTCGAGGCAGGCTAGAGGATTAATTTTGCAAGCAGAATCTCATAGGCTCAAGCTGAAACCACAGCTCCCCTAACAGCTGACCTTAGGCAGATTCCTTGACCTCTCTGCGCCTGTTTCTTCATGTATATACAGTACCAATGCATTGAATGCTTCGTCTGTAGCGGTATTGGTCTCAGCGCTTACACACATTAGTTCATCGATTCCTAAGAGCGATCCCTGGAAAGGAAACTATCAGTCCCTCCATTCTGGAGAGGGGAAATGGATGCAAAGGTGGATGGAGGGACTACCCTAAGATCTCATAGAAACTGGCAGAGTAACAAGAGCCTGGTCCAAGAGCCCGGCCTGGCTTCCGACCCTGCCCTGCCTGATCCACGGACTTTAGTTTGGTTAATTGAAATTGAAGTATGTAATGGGGCACACCAAGAAGACTTTTATATATATATATATATATATATATATATATATATATATATATATATAGAGAGAGAGAGAGAGAGAGAGAGAGAGAGAGAGAGAGAGAGAGAGAGAAAGAGAGAGAGAGTAATGCCTTCTCAATGCTGTGTTGATTATATGTAGGAATGATACTTTGGATATGGTAAATTAAATAAGCATAATTAGATTTAACTACACCTGTTTCTTTGTCTTTAAGGTGGCTGCTAGAATTTGTAATTACATCTGTGACTCGTATGTCTGCAAGGAGTGCCGCCCCAGACTGAGCTCATTGCCTGTTGTAAGCATTGACCGGTTAGCGCAGGGAATGAGTCTAGCACAGAGCCCCCCCCCCCCCCCACGAAACACCTGAGGGGGAGAAGTGGTACATAAGAAGGGGTACACAATTAAGGACATGATTAAGGCATGTCTACAACAGTACTTCCATGTGCATATGCCTGTACGTGTTTAGGGGGCAAGTGAGCGTGCACCTGTGCATACGTGTGAGATCAGTGTCAGGTATCTTCCTCAATTATTCTCCACCTTATTTGTTGAGACACCAAACCTGGAGCTCCCCAATTCAGGTAGACTGGCTGGTGAGTGAGCCCCCACCCCCTGAGGGTCTCCTCTCTCTGCCTCCCCAGCACTGAGGTTACAGACATGTACTGCTGTGCCTGTTTACTTGGTGAGTAGGGGGATCAAACTCAGGTCCTCAGGCCTACACAGGCACTTTATCCACTGAGCCAAATCCCCGATACGTTTTCAATGATCATGGGAAAACACTCCCGTTTTGAAAAAAATGAAATAGCTTGGTCCTTGATCTGAGCACGGCACAGAGAGGTTCAGTGGCGCCAAGGGTCATGTTGTAGGCTTGGTTCCCGGTACAGTAGGGTTAATAAGTAGTAGAACCTTTGAAGTGGAGGGGAGACTTGATACAAAGTAACTACCTCATTGGAGCACTGCCCTTGGAAGGGGTTAATGTAGCTCTCTGGGAACTCTGCTTAGTTACTTCGAAAGGTTTTTGCACATAGGCAAAGCCTGACCCCTGAGGCTCTCTGGATTCCTGGATCACCATGGAATCTCTTCCATACAAACATTTCCCCTTGGGAGGAGGAATTGTACGAGCCAGGGGGGTCAAGATCATGATGGGGAAACACACAGAGACCAAGCTTGTGGGAGATCATGGACTCTAGACCAACAGCTAGGGAGCCTGCATGGGACCAACCTAGTCCCTCTTCATGTAGGTGACAGTTGTGTAGCTTGGTGTGTTTGTGGACTCTGGCAGTGGGACCAGGATCTGTCCCTGGAGCATGAGCTGGCTTTTTGGAAACTATTCCCTATAATGGGATGCCTTGCTCAGCCCCAACTTCACATGCCATGCTTTGTTGACTCCCATGGGAGGCCTGCCCCTTTCTAAGGAGTGGATTGGGGGTGGGGAGTAGAAAGGAGGTGGCAGGAGAGGAGGGAGGGGAAACTGTGGTTGGCATATAAAATAAATAAAAAAATTTAATAATTAAAAAAAAAAGAAAGAAGAAACATTCCCCTTTGGGATGGTTTCTGCCATCAGATTCAAACCAGTACTATGCAGAAGCTGGTGTCATGCCCTTGGTCCTCCAAACGAATAAGCTAAATTGACCTCTTTTCCTTGCAAATTATCTAGCCTTAGGTATTTTGCTATAGCCATGGAAAGCACCTAATACAAGCATCGTGGGTATGAATGGGAGCTCATCCTTAGCCTCCTGTGTTATCATCTGCAGAGGTTCACAAGGCAATACCTATTTTCCATACCACCTGTCCATTTATGCTCCTCACAACCTGCCAATGCCTCCCTACCCAGAACCTAGGAAATGTGCCAGACCCCAAGATCCACAAGTCTAGCTTCAGGGAAGGGTAGCAGAGACACTCCACCCCAGAACTACAGTGACTGTGCTGTCCTGCAGGCAGCTCTGAGCTCCATCAGCCCCACTGTCTGGAGGCAACCTCCCAGCTCTTCTTCCAGCCCTCAGTCCTGGCTCTGAATTAGTATGTGGGGGTGGGGGGCAGAGGGGTGGACAGCCAACTTCTCGCCGGGCTCTCTAACAAGTTCCGCGGGTCTGTTTGTTAAAGAAAAATTCCAGTGGGCGCATCCAACACATGGAACTCAAGTACAGAAATTATATTTATCCAGCCCACTGCCAAAGAGATCACATGCCCTGTGAGTCACTCCAGATGTGCTTAAAAACAGAGCCTCTGTGTGGAAGCCCAGTCCCCCAATCCCAGAGAGACTTAGGTTAGGAGAGGTACCAACTTCTGTCCCACCCAGGAGGCAGTATCCGCCTCCACCCTGTGGAGCCAGGGAGAGGCCCTTGCTGCCCTTCTAGACAAGAAAGGGCAGTGAGAACTCTGTCATCCCACGGAGAAGAACTCAGGGCTCACCTGGAGCTCCCGAGGTCCCACAGGGATAGAGGGTCAATTTTTCTCCCTTCTGGAAGATGCCCTGGGAGGTCCTGATGCTGATGCTGCTGCTGCTCTCCAGCACCCAGGCTACTGCATCGTGCAGGTGGAACAGAGGTGAGTTGTTTTTATTCATTTGTTTCTCTGATTTCATTCATCTTTCTTGAATAGAATTGAGGTTATGGAGTGGAGTTGGAAGGAGGAAGGAATTAGAAGCCCTGTTACCACTTTGTAAACCAACTTTGCCGGTGCGTATGCTTCCTGGCAAGCTCCTTCTTGGTAAAAGTTGATGAAAAAAAAAAAATGACACTGGAGAAACATCAAAGCAGCTGATTTGGGAGCCTGGTGGAGGTTGAGAACCCAGAGGGCTACCCCATGCTGGTGAGCCAGAAAGAACTCTTGATTGCTTCAGAGAATGGGGACAGGTTCTCTCCAGATCCGTGGTGGGACTACTTGGACCCCTGAGAGACTAGCCAAGTTCTGCTGCCTGCATGACAGAATGGTGGCCACTGGGATGCAGGGGGCTGCTACCTGAGGGACTAAGACAGAGAGTTCTTGGCCACACTGGCCAAGAATGAGATCTCCAGGCTGCTGTGGATGTATTTTTGCATCCAGGTAGAGCTGTCTGGGGGAAGGTGAGAAAAAAAGAACCTTTGTGGGCATCCATCCAGTGTGTTTGGCTCCTGCCGCTTCCATAAAGCCACTGTGGAAAGAAAGGGGTCTATGCCCAAGTTTTTCTCTCACACTGACATCTTCTCCCTCGGGATGTCACTTCTCAGAACCAGGGTGGCATCTTTACTCTGTGTCCTGGGTCTGGCTGTGCTTGGCAGGCACTGGGAATGTATCAAGCCAGCTAGTTTATCACTATCAGGAGATGAAGAGCTGGGAGTGCTACCCACCCCATGCCAGTCTGGAGGGAAGTCTTTCCACTGCCTAAAGTCAGCTGAGTTCATGTCCCCAGAAAGAGCTGGAAAAACAGTGTTCCCTCGAGTCAATCCAGAAGCTCTTTATAGAGACCCCAAATGGGATAAGGGAAGGCATGGTGACATGGATGTGCCCCTCGTTCTCAGATGCAACGTCAGGGAAGGAAAGAGCGGCCTATGCTGCAATGGGAAGGAGGAGGCCAAGGGCTTATCTTTCCTTTTATCCTCCTGTGCTTAATCCTGATTATTAGGGACTGGCAGGCCTCTGAACAGAGCCAGGGAGTGTGTGTTGCTAAGATGTGAAAAATACAGACTTTCTCTCTCTCTCTCTCTCTCTCTCTCTCTCTCTCTCTCTCTCTCTCTCTCTCTCACACACACACACACACACACACACGCACACGCACACGCACACGCACACGCACACACTCTCACACACCTACCTGCCCATCATGTGCACAGTCACACTTGGGGGGTGAAAAGCAGAGAGCTCTTGCTCTTAGAATTGGATTCTGTCACTCACTGTTGTCACACCGGGAGCACAAGTCAATTTGCTGATTCAAAGGAGACCAAAGCATCTACTCTTCTGAAGGCGTAGACTGTCCGGAAGCCAAGAGACAACCGGACATGTGACAAGGCTCATAAACAGGCCGGCTGCTTCCGGAGCACTCCTATAAGGACTGGGAAATTTCAGCTCTGCCTCTAACAAGCCAGCAGCAGGATCTCGGTCGGACAGGCTCCTAATTCCTCTGGATGTTGTTAGCAGGTAGCATCTTAACAATGGCGAAACTTGCCTTCACCGGGCTGACTTGAGGGTCCTATTCCAAGATATGCTTCGAAAATGATGAAATGCTACACGTCAGTGACTATACCACTTTAAAAAAAAAACATTATTTATTAATGAGAAGTTGAGGCTTTTAACAGAGGTTTGATAGCAGCATCTGAGGCTCTTTGGGAAGGCTTCCTCGGCAGGGCCTCAGGCACTGTAAAGGATCAAGGCCAACACAAATGACCAAAAGCCCATTATAGGACAACGATATGGTTCAAGACTGTATTTGGAGGCAACAAATGATATGGAGTCCTTCCAAGTTTCATCAAAACTCTTCCATGTGGTCGGTTTTTATTTTTCCTTTGTCTTATACATTTTTTCTAATTACAAAAGGACACAATTCTTGTCACTTTCGGGTGGGCTCAGTTAATAGAGGGCTTCCCGTGCAAGCATGAGGCCCTAAGTTACCCCAGACCCCTGAAGAAAGGTTGAGTGTGGCCACCTGTGCTTGTAATCCCAGCGCTGCAGAGGCCGAGGCAGAAGGGTCCCAGGGTTCACGGCCCACCAGCCTAAGCCAACTGGTGAGCTTCAGGCCAATGAGACATACTGTCTCGAAGAATATGGACAGTGTTCCTGAGGATGACATTCTCAAGGCTGTACATACACACACACTTCCCATCCTTCTCTAGCCAGTCCTCAAGTCACATCTGAAAGTCTTCTCTGGAGAGCCAGGCTGGGTAAGGTGGCTTTCCTCCGTGGGTTCTTTCATTAGAGGATGAGTGTGGTTTGTGCATTTATTACCAGTTCTCTGGCCAGTCTTGTCCTGGACTTGACGCTCTCCAAGGGCAGGGGTGACTTCAGTGTCTGCACCTGACAGGCATTTGAATCCTTAAACTGAATTGCAGAAAAACACCACATATCAGGCCAATGAACCTGCTGAGCAAACAGGAGGACCTGTGTTTGGATTCCCAGCACTCAAGTAAAAAGCCAGGCTCAGGGGCCTGCGGTTGCAATTACAGTGTTGGCGAAGGCAGAGACAGGAAGATCTCGGGAGCTCGCTGACCAGGCCAGTCCGGCTGAATCGGTGAGTTCCGAGTTCAGTGAGGATCATTGTCTCAAAAAGGAAGGTAGAGAGTAGAGTAGGGGGACAGCCTCTGGCCTACACACACACACACACACCCACACCCACACACACACACACCCACACACCCACACATACACACACATACACACGCACACACACACACACACACATACACACACACACACACACACACACACACACACACACACACACACACAGGTTTCCCACAGATATTGTCCCCTTTATCTTATCTTACTCCAGCCAAGAACTGCCAGCCTGCTTTCAATGAATCCCCTAAAAAGAGTTTGAGGAAAGCCCTCCTTCTAAGACTGTTTTCTTCCATCCTTGCCCCCACACCATCACCACACCCTCTAAACACCCCACTCCTCTATATGGAAAAAAACCAAAAGGGAGCCTGCCCTACCCTCTCCCTAAGAAGCGCTCTCTAGGATTCCCCCCAGCATAGGAGATTCCACAGCAAGATCCAGAACTGCCCAATCCCGCCCTACCAGCATGATGAAAGCCCAATGACTCACCTAAGGTTACTGTGGTTAGCAGGGCCAACCTGAGGACATTGACCTACACACACACAGCCCACGTTAGCATCTTGTGGGAGTAATACTTGAAGGGAGAGGACTTGCTTGACTTTAAAAAGCTGAAAAGTATATACCTAATAACCAATAACCATCGTTATGTTGTCACTAAGTACATATAAATTGTTTCTACTTTCCTACGTTTACTTCTTTGTTTATGTATCCACGCGCATGTGTACCGCTGAGCACTTGTGGAGGTCGGAGGACAACTTGTAGGAGTCAGTTCTCTCCTCCCACCACGTGAGTCCTGGGGACTGAACTCAAGCTGTCAGGCTTGGTGGCAGACACCTTAGCTGCTGAGCCATCACACCACCCCCTAAAGTGTTTATTTATGAAGCCGTTTGTTAAAGAAGACAGCTCTGAGGGTTAGTGGAATGTCCTTTTCAGGTGTGTGTCCTTGCTCTTGGATGCTCTGCCGGGTAAGAGCAGGGGCCAGCAAGAGTTGATGCTGACCACCTCAGCATCACCTCACCTCGCTCTCCATGCATTTGCAGGTGAGATAACCATTTGCAGGTGAGAAAAGCAGAGAGCTGGGACAAGAGGGGACAAGGCCTGGGTCCCGCGGCTCGAGGGCTGAGTGGACTTGGCCCCGTGTCCATCTGAGATCAGCCCCACTGCCCTGTTCCCTTGTCATCATTCCATCCCCCTGTTGTGGAGCTTTCTAGTCAAGACAGCTGCTCTCCAACGCTGTCCCGCAGGACCCTGGCACAGAGGCCACGACTGTGGCTTTCTCCGAACAGCACCGATTTTCCAAAAGGCTGGCCCAGGAGCCAAAAAGTGAATGACACATCAGAATCTGGCAGAAGATCTTTCATTAGCAAGAACATTTCCCTTCCACACCCAGAGTTGCTTCAAGGATTCATTCACGGTGGGGCTGTGCTTTGGCTCGGTGCGGTCTGCAGCCTTCATCCTTTCCAGCAAGTTCTTTAGTGCAAGTGCCGTACATGGCTGAGTGGACTCCAAGTGAGGGCTCCACACACAGGGATCAGGCGGGCAAGCAGATGGGATTTTTGAACCAGGATCGTGACAAGTCAGAGGTCAGACTCTGCTGTGAGCCAGCTTCCTCCTCAGGCGCCTTCTGGCTGCGGGCTACGCCACAGCGTCTGCACAGGATCAAGCATGGGGAGATAGCAACTGCCTTAACAAAGATAAAGGCAAAGCAGCTCCTTCTGTGCTGGAGCGCGGACTCCGAAGAGATAGGGAGAAGGAGTTGAGCAGACCAAAGTAAACATTGCTTCTTAGCTGAGAGCAGACCCGAAACTCCAAATGATGATAGACTCACTCCCTTGCAAAGAGGAAGATTTTGTAAAGCGCTCTGAAAAGAACCAAGCTCAGTGGCAGAGTGGGTAGTGTGTCTCTATAATATCATTTATCCAGTCAACAAACAGTAATGGGCACGACACTAGGTACTGGGAATCCAGTGATGATCAACACAGACGGGATCCATTCCCTCATAGAGCTGACATTCTAGTGGGGGCGGGGGAGAGGGGACAAAAGACAAGCACGTGAATAAAGAAATTATGCGACTTGTTGGATGGCAATAAAGTAAGGACAGAGGCTAGAGTGTGCACAAAGGCTTATCATCTTCCGTGGGAGTCACGGAAGGCCCCACTGAAAAAAATCACAAACAACCTGAGGGGTGACGGAGGGAGTCTCACAATCTCTCTGGAGCTTGGGGGCAGTTATTTCAGGCAGAAGAAACAGATAGGCAAAAAACATGGAGACTAAAGCTTGCCAATGTGCTTAAAAAC